TTATTTTGTCCTATATTATAATTATTAACATAATTAAGACTTTTTTTTATCGAACAGCTATTCCAGGGTAATGTCTAATTCTAACAATTCTATTATATTGTCCTGTGCGATTTCCAGATACAAATGATATATATATTATGTGGTGTACTATAAAATTCTATCATTGTCTTTTACTAATACGTTCTTATTGCTCAAATAGTATATTTAATGAAAAAAAACTGGTGTTTTACCATGTGAAAATACAGATAATTCATTTACCGCAAAATGTTTTCGTTAATTTCGAGATACACATTGTCGATATGTTGTATGCATTGATAAATAGTATTATAAAAGTGTTGGGGGGGAGCGGGGGAGCAGAAACAAAATGTAATATCAGATTATTAACTGCAAATAAACCTACTTGTTGTATCGACGTCACCGATTTCCATAAATACTACCAATTAAAGGCCGATACGGGCTTTTTTTATTTACAGCCCATGATTGGGTAGAGCGTATCTATCCTCTTCAAGATAGTATCATAGGGCTTTATTATATTTATATAAAATGTACATTATCTCCATATTATATCGATGTAACATTATAGTTTTCAAATTTAACACTATATTTATACGATTAGACATCTATCGACAAACAACTTGCCAACCGTTGTCAGTCATTTTAAATAAAATTAATAGGACGGTCTTTTGCTGATGAAATTTTCGATGCCCTCGTGCTTACAGACTTCTCTCTCTGCCTATCCGTAGGTATGGGTATGACGCAAATGCTTTTGAGTGTGTTTTTCTTATGAGTCTGTTATACAGTTCTAAGCCTAAAGGGCATTTTTTTTTATAATCAGTGGCCACAATAAGTCAAGTAAATGTTATCTTATACTGCTGTGCATACAGAGCGTTCCCGCCTATGCCAGGTCGACCAATATTCAGTCAGAGGATTCTAGTAGTTATTTCAGCACACAGTAGCTGAATTTAAGACCATTTCTAAAGTTTGCTTCTGTGACAGAAGCGTGACGTTTCAGAATTTGTTCGTTCTTCTGCTTAGAATATTGATGCAAAACCGGATAAATATCGTGCGTTCTATAGCGGCTATTCCAACACGAAATAGGATTCATGAACATTAAACTGCATTAGAATTGTGGCAAGCCATTAGAGGGCCGGCTATTTTAAAAGATACCTCAAATCTCAAATCGAGCTGTGAAATAGCTCCAAATTGTTATCGTCACTAGTCGGCCAAACGAAACAATTGTTTATCATTCCGATATTTGCTCCCTCCAGAGTTGCGTTGCTAGCTTTCCAACAGACATATTCCTTTTAATAAAAGTAGCTACTTTTTAGTGCTTCATGAAGCGGCATTCAAGGAAACAGCTCTTCCGTAAGGTACAAATGAGGGATGCACTACGAATTCTCCAAGCATACAGGACAGTAGGTACATCAGTGGCCCTTGTCGTCGCTAGAGTATCCCCGTGGAATTTAAAATCTAAAGAGAAGAAACCACTATGGAGCAATGACCCCCGAAAGCATTAAGGAAACTGAGCCAATAAAAGAGTTGGAGGCCAAGTGGTCGGCTATAGTAGCTGGAAATCCAGGAGCCAGAGTTTCTGGTCTGCTCCGAGGGATCTAAAAATGACTGCCTCACAGGAGCAATAAACTTCTTACGTAACACGGATCATGAAGATTTCCAGTGCTAATACACATTCGATTGGAAAAGCTCCGTCCGACTCTGCCGTAATCCTTCTAACCTGCTTCATTTTTCGGGACAGAGAGGACAAGGGCCAAAAATAAGGTTTTTACAAGGTAGGATAAAGAAGGTGCCTTCTCCAAAAGAGATCCCTTCTCGAATTCCCTAGAACAGGTCTAGCGGAGCTTGTGGAGTTCATGAGCGCCGCTACCGGGGGCTAGGAACTTCCAGCGACAATAGCCAAAGAAATCCTTGTGGCAGCGGAGAGCTGCGAACGAAACAGACAACATGACTAATGTTTATGGACCACAAGTGTTGGGACGTATTGTGTCTTATTAGGCAGGGAACTCGGAGGCGACCACGGCAGGTTGACCCATAGGCACCTCGCACTTTTCCTGCCCGCCCGTACCACTAATGAAGCTGCGGGCTGGTAGGGAAAGTTTAAGGAAAGGGGTGCATTAGTCCGTATTAGTTTGGTCGATACCAAGTCCGGGCTAAATCTAACTACAACAGGTGCCATGTATCATTCGACCCCAGTTATTGTCGCGAGTGCCAATTTTAATAATAACTATCAATATTATTCTTCACTTAACCACATACGTCATTTAGTATATATCAATTGTGAGGCCTGAAGCAGTGGCCTCTACTCATTTTTAATTAGAGGGATAACCTTTCAAACTATACTTGGTGCTTTAAAATTCAATATACGAATATATCAACTATCAGGATGATGTAGCCTATAAAGTACTTCAGTTACACCTTATTATATTATTTCTCCTATCATTATGACCATACTTGGTATTACCCTTATTTTTCCTATTTTGGCTTGAGTAAGTGACATAAAAAAATGCTTCCCGATTCTTATCCATATTAGATATGTTACTAGTGACACAACTTTCTCACGTGTCAGAATATCAATAATTAGGATGAAATGGTCATAAAATATAGTTTAGGCTCATTTTTTTTTAATGAAAAATTCAGCTCCGTCTAACGGACACATTTGTCAAATCTCAAGAATAACACCTCTAGTAATTCTATTTAAAAATTAAAGTAAATATATAATTTTATAAGCTTCAAATAGATATTCATTCTTTTAATTACTAAATCCTAAGTTACGGAACAAAATGGTTATTATTAAGAACGCATTCAAAAATTATTAGCAATGGAAATGGTCGGAATATTAGTACCGTTGTTTGTGTCAAATGCTACTATACTTCAAGTAAAAAGAACAATGAATAATTCAGAGAGGAATCGAAAGACAAAGCTTTTCGGTCTACCGAACTATACAAAGACTGTACGATATAAAAAATCTCATCGTAAAATAAAATTAGATCACTCAAAAAAAAAAAAGGTATTTTTATGGTCATTTCCGACACTGTCTAATAAAGAAATTAATTTATACTTACAGGATTACAGATTACATAAATAAACAGAGTCCAGTTCAAAATGCTCCATAGTAAACCGGTATTGTTATTAGCTAGATACATATTTAAGGCGCCTATGAGATTGGTGAGTTGAATTAAATACTTGAAATTTCACGTCCGTTATCATTAGACAATCCATTAGACAGCTGGCTTCCAGCACCAAACGAATGTGTCTACGGTTGGGTACGAACCCAGGCCACTATAGATCCCTCAAATTTAGCAAGCAAACACGCTGTGCATTACCCTATCATGAGCAAAATTTTAAACTAATGAGCCACTGCTTCGATAATACTCCTTATTCTAGATGAAGAGAATTCTACATTTGCAACGATACTAATAATATTAGTACGTGTTACGTACTCTTGATGATTTTTTTTTCTTCATTAGAAGTACGTTACCTATGAAGAATTGCGGTCGGCAAAATATCCAGGGTGCACGAGCCGGCCACCAACAGCTTCACTAGTACATTTTGATTAGCTCCGTCTTTGGTATTTCTATGGATAAGAAAGCTGTTCATATTTAAAACAGCATGAATAGTGAGAAGAGACTCAAAACACTTGTGCCAATACGTGTAAGTAATTTCAGGTCAATAATAAGTCTATATTTGTTCAGAATTCTCTGATGGCAACACTGAACAAAGTGTGTCTTGTATGTTTACCTGCATACAAGACCTCGTGGATATCTGAAACATTTTTACTTTCGTTTGCCGCTATAAGAAAATAATAAGCATTATATATGCTATTGTATAGATTCCGCAACCGATCGACTAATGGAACTATAACCGACCGGTTTATATTTGCCATTGGGCAAAGGTTACGTATGTGAACAGTTTGAATAAGCTACGTACCCAGCCCGGCGGTCAGGGGCAAATACCTCTATTCAAAGAACCGGAACGACAGGAATAAACGCCTTGCGAGCATAATATCATGGCGAATCTTAAGTCAGCTCTTAAGAACATAAAGCTTTGTTATGGAGATTCCTCTAACCTGACTGATTATTCTTAAATTCAATATAAAGCTTGAAGTATAAAGTTCAAGCGTTTAGCTATGTATTGAAAAAAAAAAAAAAAAAAGACTTTTTAAGCAATATCTAAATAATTTGGAGCAAAAATAGTGTTTCGAACCAATTCATATTGACATAATATATCCAACGTTGCGCCGATTTTCTTAGGTAATACCTCTTAAGTTAATTTTCTGTTGAACTATGGTAATAACCTAATGATTTTGCTACAAAACGGTCGGCTTCCTATGAACGCAGTTCAAGAAATCACGTTTGTAGAGTTTAACGGTTCAGCGTATGTCTGTGTATACGTACCGTGTTCCTTCGTGTACCTTGTCTATCAATCGTCTACCGTCAATCAATTTTTTCATATTGTTGCCTAAGCGTCTGCTCATCTTTTTTTCTATTCACTGGCTATGGTCATGCCCAATTGGCCTTTGCATCATACGCTCCTTTCGTACGGCCAGTTTTAAGACACACACTTTATTTCAAAAGCGTGGCTTGGGTAGAAATATTGTTAGAACAATTATTATCCTTAAATTACAAAACCTAACATAAAGTTTGAGACTACTAATCACAAGATAGAACCGAACTACTTAGACTTACTATTTTACTATAATTTTTCAACGTTTGGCGACGAGAAATGTACCCAGCTCAATCCGGCCTTGGACCTTGTAATGCTAATGTTACTCCGGATCGTATAATAACTTTAATTTTTATTGCCGCTTTAAAAGAAATTCTGTGCTTAAAAACCTAACAGTATTTAGTCCGATGCTCGTCAATATGATGTAAAAGATGATCGCTTTAGACAGTTTACCATCAGTTGAGAATATGTATAAAAATATATTTTGATGTACTTCTTTATTCTCCTACTTAACATTGACCATAACTTTTGATATACGATTTGCGGTCTGCATTTATTTACTTTAATAGTATCCACTGACTGTTTCAGTCAGTTAAAATCTGTTATTTACACGACTATATACAGGCGGCAAGGATCCAAAGTGACATCGCTAAGTTGTAAGTTTTCTCATCTCTCTCTCTCTCCCCTCTCTCTCTCTCTCTATATATATATATATATATATATATATATATATATGCGTTTTGTTATATGGGGTAGAAGTCACTAAATGGTTGTATGATGGCGAACTACTAAGATGTAGTGTTTTCACGCAGTTGTTTTTCCTTATAACTACACATCTGTTTATTGATGCCTTTAGCAGACATTTAACATTTCTTCGATGTTTGTACATTGCCGTTACTTACATTCGCATTTATATAAATTACTTAACAACTTTACAGTGTATCACAAGGCTAAGTATAAAAGCCATTAGCATTGTCCGGAGAAGATTATCTACCGCGTTAACTTATACGATCACGTTAGCAGAAAAAAGCATGCGAAAAAGAACTCTAGGCACTCTTTATGGACTCCGGTTGAAGCCTACACATTCACTTTCTTTCCTTGTCTCAACTCAACTGAACTTTAAAGGCTCCATCCTTACGTGTCCTTAGTCTCTAGTTGCCTAATCATGTGTGAAAATCACTTAATGACCATTGGTCTATGGATAAGCACCTTAAACGTGCTTGCGTCCTTTTGCATGACGATTGTGCTATTAATATCCAGCAGCGTGCTCTCCGTTGTTGGCAGAGCCTGCACTCGAAAAGCAAATTGGGGCGAGCTTCTGTCTATACGAGATGAAGGTGACGACATTGTGAATGTCATCGTGTTGCTTCCTTCAGACGGATGCCTTTGAAGATGATGATGATGATTGTGGCTTCTATCCCGCAACTGAAACTCCTTTGAATCTCTGACTCCAACGATGAAGTCGCAACCTGTTTTTGACCATGTCCCTCTTTGGCACACATCGCCAAGGTTATCAGAACGGCCATACCGGGTAAGCATCGCCAACACCTCCCCCGGAGATGTGGGTTGAGCCACGAATACAACCAAATTGAACGAGTGCGTTTCGCCCTTTAGATGTTCAACTGTGTAGAATATTGTTGTACCCTGCTCGTCGTCGCGAAGTCCCACTGCTGCGCAGCTCTGGCAGTGTCGAACAGTAAGACGATCACTGATTGCATTACTTTCATGCATCTCTTTCCAAGCGGCTTCGGTTTTACGCCAAGCATCGACGGTGTTCTTAAATGCGCCTCCATCTACATTAAGACTGCGAGTGTCTACAACAAGAACGAGAATGTTGAGATCCTTAAGCTTAGGTGCAGGCATTGTCGTTGCAGGCTCTGGAAGTTTCGTACCGACGCCCCCGCCACCTGCTAAACGAGACAACAGTGTCCGCTCTACACTTGCATTGTTTGAGTTTTCTGAACTATTTCCCTGAGTCGCAGTGATGTGCTTTACGAGATCGGTAAAAAGGAAGATATAGAACACTGTCACGACTACTGCGACGAGAAAGACCAATCCGATTAGGGCACTTGAAATACTGCAGCAACCCCATCGTCGACGCTTCTTGCAATTCACCTGGAAAGCATGTTTTATTTATTATTATTTGTGTTGACTGGTGTGGTACCATATTGTTATTCTAGGACGTAGCGGCATAGGGCAAATGGCAGAAGCTGTTTTGGGTGTGCATCCGCCTATCAGTAACCAGTATTAGGTGTGATACGATTTGAAAGTTAAGGCATTTTTGTAATCCCTTGCCTGCCAAAAATAATAATAATTATTATTATTGTTTTATTGCTTCCTTCGACAGAGTTTTAGCGTTTCCTTTTTTGCATAATATATATATATATATGTTTAATTAATTAATTTATTTTAGTGAAACACTAAATGGGGTTACGATTGATGGGCGACCCTTCAACCGTCTTGGCACGTTGTAAGTATGACGAAAACAGTACTATGTTCTTTTGGATGCTCACTTAAAATATTTTTGCCCGTGCTGGATAAGGCCAGAAAAGCGTAGGGTGCAAGACCATAATACTCAGTCGCTACTTACTAAAAATGGCAAACAAGTCGAATATTAATATCAGAGTGTGGCCTTTTACTTACAAAACTACTTAAAACTTATGTATTATATAGAGGATGAAATAGATCAAAATAGGCCCTGAGCTACTCAAAAGCATTATGAAAGCTTCAAGTTAGCTGGTGCCTTTTAAGCCTTTTCGCTAGCCTCTGTTACCAGCAAAAGTTTCCTACGCAGTTGAGTTCGCTAGGTAGGTGAACCAAAACAGTCCCTAGCAGTTAAGCCGTGAACATGCGACGTCTGGGCATTTACTAAGCCGTAACAACACCAGCGATTTATTATTATTGTTATATGTCTCCCAGGCCTATGATAAATCGGCTGTTGACTTTACCTAGAGCCACTTAACTGGTCTATTCTTGAAGGAGTTTATTTTCACTATTTTCTAACGTAGCAACTCTGCACGAGTCCGTGCAAATAGCGACACCTATATGGCGTTATATAAATGAATTTATGCACATTATTATATGCATACTATAAACTGTGATCGCTATTATGGCACTAATTTGGCTAAGCTAAATATAATAATAAGAATATGAGTCCTGCATTTATAGAAAAATCCCTCCTGATAAAACTTTATTCAAGTTTGACGTTTGTTTTCGTATTGTAAGTGCTTGGTCGTTAAGAGCGGTTCGAAGGTTCAGAAACTGATCGTAGTCCGCAGAAGCAAAATCATTGTGCGTATATCACGTAGATGCATTGGGAACCCTTATTGCAATTGTGTAATGATTCAATATTATTCTTGCAGCTAGCTTATGTACCAGTTTTCGGTGAACGTATTCATAGTGAACGATTCCTAGCAGGTGGCCCGCCAAGTACATCATTGACGCTTTCTGTAGGGTATTCTATGTTGGATGCGTGGGGGCAAGCTTACTTTTTGTTAGCCAGCAGCACTGCCCTCATTCGACTGACTCATATTGAGCTCGTTTCGTGCGATTTACTATAACAAGCCGATTGAAAAAATCCGACTGGATTTGGCTTCGCAGCACCAGAAAGCCAGCCAAGACTTTTGCCCCACCGGTCAACATATGCCGTCTCTACTTCTTCAGCGGCGCCACTAATCAAATAAACTTGATGATTTCATGACCTTGGGCGGTCGTTGGACGTTTGAGATCAAAAATTATCTGCACAAAATTCGCTGACTACGACGGGCAAATTTACGTAACTGTGTCTCATGTGGAATTTCAGCGCATCTTGTCAGCGAATCTTCAAGAATCAAGAGATTTTTGAACTCTAACAATAAAGCCCTTATTAAGTAAAGGGTAAAATGTGGTAATAGCTAACGGTAAAGGTTACCTCCAGTGGTGAGGAAGGGAGCTTTTTCTGCAGCGACATGTAGCCCGCTTCGATTGACGTCCCTTTTACTTTTACTCGATTGGACGGTCCGAATTGGTGTTTTCCGCCTGTATGCATTATCGACGAAATTAAACACAGATGGCCGCACCGCGACGGGCGGCCCGGCGTCTCGGCTGAAATTCAAAAGGTACAAGATCGATAACGTACTTCAAAGGCATAGGTACATTTATAGGACCTTTTTAATCGTATCGAACTGCTGAAGGCGCAATCTAAATGGCTGAGCTGTGCAACTTTGGTGTAGTCGTTGACCAGCTGCTAGAACCGATCTCACCTTACAATACCATTTTCACTTTGAATCAGACCCCTTTCAAACCAAATTGGGCATTTCTAGGTTCGATTTGAAAGTAAAAGTTTAACTTTAAAAACTGTTTCATATAACATCAAAATCACATAATATACAATAACTGATAGAATCACCTAACCTTGTCAACTAATTGTTCCTGTGTAAGCATTTCACCTTTTCATAAATAATAGTATCGCTTAGGTAGGTTAATGATGTAATAGCATACTAGTTTTTGTTTGTTTTTGGGTTTGGGTGGGCAAATTGTTTTCTTAATATATGTATTGATAAATACAACTTGAACTCGTACGAATGATAACTTGGGATAATAATCGTAGATCAATTTAATTTAAACTTGCACTCGTGATTATAGTCTGCGATAGTAGTTTTTATTTCCGCTAGAGGAAATCGTAACGAAAAGGTCGCCAGAGTACCCTACTCATTCACCTGTTGCAGAACGACGGAAATGAACCTGCAAGATAGATAGCTAATATCTGTAAGGACACAGAGACTTTGTATGATGTAGGACTGCGCATTTCAGATGATTATTTTCTGACTTTAAAAAGAAACAAATGTCGATATATTAGGGAAGAAACAGTTTACGCCGTTACCTCATACTCCCATACAATGTATGTTTATCGAGAAAAGTTTATAGTAATGGAGCGTCACAGTTACTACATTCGTGACCACTACAATAAAAAGTTATCCATCCCTAAACAGTTTTCATGGACGGGCCGCGCTAGCCACAAAATGAACTCCACCAAAACTAAATTTGTTCATATTAGGCTTTACGTTCTTCTGTCTCGCGCGATAATAAAAGAAAAAAACAAAACGTAGAAATAAGGTTGATTGAACGTATTTGAAACATTCCGCTTTACGACTGCATGATTTCCTGGTCCATTCTAGATATAGCTGATACTGTTTAATCTAATTATTTTATCTTTAGCATTACTTTTAAGTAAATGAACCAGTTCAAGTAGGACATTTTCTTTGCGTCAGGTCACATTCATACTAATCACAACTAGCAGCAATACAGGATAAAAACATATAATTGAATGTGTTTTGATCCAGTCGCGAGGGACACAGAATATTCATGTTTACATCTTGCTATCCAAGACGTTAACTGCAGCAAACTTTTATAGGGAGTACCCGCAGCGTAATTCTACTTTGGATCATCAAAACATTACGGCGATAGATAATGCAAGAGTACATTGCTTTCAATGCTTAACATCGTATCTGAATTCAAAGCTGCTCTTCCCTACTAAGACTAACCGTTATCAAATGCCCGTATCTTCACATGTATGTAATAGATATGTTACTGATGTGATCGAGCAATTATGTGCCACAACCTAAAGCTGCTTATATGAGCTTTGCAACACTAAGGCTCGTAATTGAATGTGTAGGCTATTTGAAACGCTCTAACGCTAAAAGTTTTTAGTCACGCTCTTGCCTTGACAACCCACTGCACTTATCTTTAAGTTTCCATAGTATATTTTTTTGTGGTAGCCTGAACTTTCTTTTCCATGTAACCAGGGAAGTTATTTTAAAAGATAACTGCTTTGGTACAACCTCAGGGACTTGCTTCCAAAAGGAGGCAGCCGGAGCGAGTCTTGGTAGACTTAATTGAAATTTCCCCAACATGCCTATGAAACGCTATACAAGTAGCACATTCACTGTGTCCTTTTTATGTCCATCGTGTCCTGGTGTTGCCATCCCCGCTGCTCATATTTCCTTTGCATTAATCCTTTTTACCTATGCTGACGTTTTAAGCAACGACGGCCGGATGCTCCTTGCTTGTTTATGACTGCTAAAGCAATGCACTGGAAACAATGCGCATTAGTCCTCTAGACCATTTCGTCCCCTAAAACCATTGTTACGTTTCAGGCTAATACCTAAACGAAAAGCAGTTTACGATGAAAAAAATTACTGATTTATCTTCTTTGCCATCGCATAATAGCATTTTAAACTATAAGGAAAAAATGTTCTTTTTTTACATAAATTTGAATTCGTTCGCTCGTATTTACTCATTTCTTATCTTTTTTGGAAACTTTGAACTGCTGGCACAAGAGCTTTCGGTCATATGAGCGCTTTATTCTAGGGGCTCGAGGTGAGTTGGGCGATCCACAGTAATATTACTGACCTGATCACTGCCAGACCCGTTATTCGGAAGTATTAACATGCTAAGCTACGTTAACCCGCAAGCAAAAGTAGCGCAACGTATATAGCAAATTTAATGTACGCAAACGCGGGAACTCTATTACAACTCTGATATCTATTTTAACTTTTGTCCTATCGCAATGTCGATCTATGTAAATATTCTAGTTGATGACAGCGCCAGATCCCATCGCCATGGCTCAATTACTTCCTGGATTGAGCAAAGGAATATCCAACATCGGTTTTAATTCACTTATTCTCTCAATCTAGGTCCACGTGATTACACGGCTTTCCATGTCCTAAAAAGCGCAACTTTTTGGCATAATATCCGACTATCGGCCTATTTCGATTAGCCATAGATAGAGGATTCATATACGAAAATGCGAATGATAAATATATAGATGTCGAGAAGCCGCCAGAGTAGTGGGACAAGGGAATAAAAAATGAAGCGAGATATTTTTAATATCTCTTAACAAATTATTATTATTATTATTATAGCCTGAATTCGCTTGTAACAGCTTAATAGTTTATTCACTCGTGGTCAACAAAAGAGACTCTTTAGAGTCATGCCTCAGTAAGTAACAGATGTTCCAATATCTGGGCATGATGTGTCGGCCTAACGCATGTCTTCTATAAAAACAAGCATGCGGTACAGAAAAAGACTGCACAAAACCTAAAATGGTCTTCTAGGATTAAAGTTACTGAAAAATTAGATGTTAGTGTTGCAGGAGAGGGGTCCCAAGATTTGCTAGTGTAATTATTTCCCCAGGCATTTTCCGTTCACTAAACGCCCGGTGGTAGGCTAAAAAAGCGAAACATGATTAATGCTGACAGATGGACACCCCTTGTCTCCGTGATAGCTTTGTGAATAACGTATTTGCCTGCTAGTATTAGGGGCACGTTGTGGTCTACGTGTGGCCGGGGCATAGACAGACTTCGTTTCGTGCTGGAAGCCAGCCGTCTAATTGAAGGCATAACGCCAGTGTCGGACGTAAAATCTGGATGCATAGAAAGGATATCGCTTACTCACTGACTAGACAGGTGTTCTGTGACCTGTGTAGCACTTCGACAAAACTCGAAGTTTGTGTTGTGGCCCACATTCTTCTCATCATCAACTTCAATAGCAGGTACGGTTTATAGGTTACGTAAAATAAATCTTCCGTAATTTGGTTGCCCCAGCAACTGTGCCACCTCACATGCTGAAACGGAATAATTCTACAGACCGCAAACGTGTCCATTCATGTGGGTTCTAAAAAAAAAAAAGAAGTTCAGTGAACTAAGTTCGCCCTGTTTCCAGCATCTGCCCAGAGCAACAAACGCAGTGATCGAAAAAGACCGATGCAACTTACAGTGGAATTTTTTTTTCGGAGCTTCTATTATTTTGGATGTTTTTATTTTTAGCGGTGACATATGGCCGATGGAATAATTGATAAATTATTTAACCCGTTACCTAATTGTATGTGTTCGGAAGTACCAACAACAAGTGAATATGTGTAGTGTACCGGAACTACACGAACAATCCTTAGCCACAACATGAACATTGTCCAAGCGAATAGGTCAGCTGTGTTTCAGGGTCTGTTCCATCTCGTTTACCGTAGGAACCAATGGCTAGACTTCAAACGCCCCACTAAGACAATTCTAGATAGTTATCACTTGGACCTTTTTTTTTAAAGTAGAATTTAGCTGTAGCTTTCTATCAGTGATACGTCTGGACACGAACAGCTAAATAATAAAAAAGAAAAATAGGAGAACTTCTCTCTTAATAATTTTTCCTTACTTTTATTAGTCCTTTCGGAAAATAACGCGGCTTAGTTGAAAAAATAATGCATCGTTCTAAACGCGGAGAACCGTTAACTAATATCAAAAAGGATCCAGAAGCTGTATATGCTTCTTGAGAAGCAATACAGGTTGTTCCGGAAATTGGCAGTTATTGCATAACTCACAAAGATTCGTGCTTCTTTTATCGACAATCAAAAGTGTTGTATGGTAGTTGGTTTAGGGCTAAGGGGTACGTCTTTGCCGTCACCTCAATAATTATAATACCTACATATTTCAGTATAACAATTTGATTCAGAGCTTCAATAAATCTCTTTGTTCGTAGGACAAGTAATTAACGGTGTATTTAAAAGCGGATCGATTTTCCAAACGGTGTTTAAGTAACTAGGGACAACTTCGAAAAAATCTGCCACATTCACATTGATTAACAACACAGAAGTCTCTGCGAAACGTTTTCAAGCATAAACACTGAAAAAAGTATAAAGTATTCCATTACCAAATATACGTCAGCTGATAGAATCGGGCAGGCTGTCGGTCACCCGACAACCCTTGCGTACAATTTTCGCTCGCCTTTGTAATTCGTTTAGCACTTGGTTATAGCATTGGTTTAATTTAGTACAAGTACTTTAGGTTTTCACGACTTTCGCTCAAGTGAGATATCATCCACGCCTTAAAATAACCGTAACATTCAGACTCAATAGTTGCACATTTTAGGTAGAGCACGAGAGAATTACACCATTAAGCGATAGTATCGCAACGACTCACAATAGATAAGAGTGCTGCAGCCGGCAATGGGCACTACTTAAGTTTCGACAATAGCAGTATGGCGATAGGTTTTTAAAGAAGAAGAAGAAGAAGCCTACAACAAACGCTTAGCAATCCAGCAAACTTAGTTCGGCATGATATGACGCGCCGGCACCGGCGGAGTGGTCAGCAAACTATCACTTACGCCACAGATTCGCCAGAGAGTCTAGTACAATGGGTACTTAAGGCTGAGGCAAAACAGCAGGCCACCTCGCATGTTACACGAAAGACTACTGCCATCGCCATTGCGCCGACAGGCCCTAAAAGCTCAGAAAAAAGAGAGAGAAGGCCACCAGAAGGCACTCTCGAAGGAGGGAGAATTTACAATGACGTCGAGTTCCGAGTAGTAGCATTGTTAGCCGCCCCTGTCTGTCCATTCGTCGGTTCGTCCGTATAATGATCAGCTCACAGCTGAATGGCAACTCGTTAGCCAGAGAGGCTGGCAGGCAACGACATTACTGTCAGTGGCCAAATGAGCAATTCGGGATTAACAGCAGCGAAATGATCGCCTGTGGTTGATAGACGGTACACGGTAAACTAGGCTAATCCATATCGTCTCAGCTGTAACGTCGGTATTTGTCCGCTCATGTATAATCGCACTGGGGCAATTTTAACGAAAGTCAAATTTTAAATACGCTATTATTTTTTAGTTGCTCATGAAGCCATACAGTGTGTTACATTTCGTTTTAGTTTCTGGAAAACAGAATTATAAGAAAAATTATCAATGAAGTAGAAAAAGGAAAGTATACTAGTACATTGTAAAGCAATATAGTAGATGTACTAACGTAGCGTAGCATCTATTCTTTCTACTTCTAAATGGTACGTAAGACAAAAGGGTAAGCCCACATTTGGGGGTTAGCTTTGACTTGACTGAAAGCATTTGGTTTGCCAGTCAGATCAATTACTACTATTGACAGTCGACATATTGGACTTATCATTCTGTGGTCTGTTTTTATCCGTTCAGTCGCTAACTCGTCAACTGAATAGACATCTGGATAGGCACCATATAGTTCTAAACGGAGTTGACTGATGAAACTATTGTAATCAATTGAAGAAGGACAGCAAGCAAATAAAAGCTTAGATGAAGCAGGTTATTACTTATCCATTCTGTCAATTCAACATAGGTTCAGTAAAAGGGCGTGGCGAAACGGAAACGGTGCTCTATTAAACAGAAGACTCTAGTAGCAAGCAATAGCATGGTAGAAAGACACAGAAGAGGACCCACCTTGTTTTTAGAGGTGCTTTTTGCAAAAAGAAATTCATTGATATCATAGATAGCAGATGTTGCATTCAGATATAAGAAGGGATTACCATAGGAAAGAGGGCATCAGCGTGTCGCCAGCAGCAACTAACACCTTTGAGTTTACTAAAAAAAGTTGTAGAACCTACACGTTCTTTACGTAAGCAGTCACTTATCATTCGTGCCGTTGAATGGACGCGCGGCCACACTCGAAAGTACGGCAACAATTAGTTTTACTGCGATTGCCGTTGCTTTCAAAGACGATGACAGTTAATTTTATAGATTCCTTCTGAAGTCCCTAAATTAGAACTATTCGCGGTTAACCAGCAAGACCAGAATTATTCACACAGACTTGTGGAGAGCATACCCAATGACGTTCAATGACGTCTATGAGAGTAAAGTTACCATCGTTATTTTATAGAAAATAACAGACAGATAAGTACCTCATTTTTTTCCAAAAATTCTTCTACCATGGTCAATTCAACGTAAAGAAACGGCGAGGCAAGATATCATAAAATGAGTCAAAGTACGCTTTGCATCTATAGAGTCTGCGTGAAACAGCTTCTCCTGATAACAAATAAACGCCATTTAGCTCTACTTAAATGATCATTAGTTTTGTATGTTTTTATTGTTGAGCGATCCCTCGTCATGTTCACAGATTTTTACTTTTTCTCCGTTCGTCTTGTTGGCGAAGATTTCCCATGATCCGGTTGGTCAAATACAATACTGATTTACTTTCCGTCGCAATAACATGTATTTTGTGGATAACTCGTATGTTCCGCAACGGATACAAGTTGGGCGCCTTGGGAACAAGGAAATAGCTACAGGTAATCAAAGGTGCATATATTCAGACGGCATTTAGATTCTGCGATTTTCTTCTTCATGATTAATACGTGCAGATTAGAATAAATACATTTAGTGCTTATGCACATATCACGTTATTGCTCAATCAAGTGCTCTTCATTGGGTTTTAACTCAGTGGTCAGCAGCTAACATGCTTCGCAAAGTCTTCCTTTAGCATCTCTCTATCGCACTTTATTAGATCCATCCTGCGTGGGGATTATTCGGTAGCCGTAAGGTATAGCTATAGTCAAAATGTCTGTTTCTACAACAACGACTAACTTTATTCAAATCCGTAGGCCCAACGCAATATCCCTAGTTGATTGTCTATTTGAAAATATGAGTTTTAGCTTTGTAAGCCGTCACCTGGATTATACGTGTTTGCTCACCGAAGCGTCATTCGGTATGCTATGACATGTAGCAAGATCTGTTATAGTCTTAACAACTGGAACAGCATCGTGTTAGCTTCTACAAAGCTCGGAATTCTAGGGCTTGAAATCAAACGCTTCTTATGAAGGCATTCGGAAATACAGACATCTTTAAGAGGAATAGCATTAAGGTCCTTAATTTTGCGCTCTTTCCAGTTCTACATCTTAGACAACCTGATAAAACCACGCAATAATATATTTGCTAGAATTCTAGGTAGAAATTAATTGAGGCCACATGATTGTCACTAGAGCTTATCGCACTGGCTTGCAAATACTCGTGCCGAGGGATGACGTATTATCGACGCCGCGTTTCTGCTGTACTACTATTGTTTTACTAGAGTGTCAGCGGCATATAACCAAAACTATTCAGGCTTGTTGCAGCTATCACTTCGGATTCCATGTGTTTTTATGCAGAATGATGAGACTAAAACACACATATTTATCCGAACATATGGTTCGTATAATTCGTTCAAGTGCTTTACCTAACGATAGTAATACTGACCGAAAGCTATTATATAATGAAAACTAAATGAAGTTAAATTCCTAATTTGACTTAGACCGTCTACCAATATGGAGTGTCTAAAATCACAAATACCAAAGCAGCAATATAAGAGATCAGTGATATGCATATTAAGAACGTGCATGTCTTTCTCTATTCTGAAACGTCTCACAATTGACCCTTCCAGATGCTTTAAGTCATTCAGCCTAGGCAAACATGGTCTGTTAATTTGCTTTATCGTAAAAGGCCGATTCATGCATGTATCGGATCAATTTCGAACAACGGTCGCAATGAGCTAAGCCTTGATGACAATACCGACATATCAGCGCTTAGTTCATTGGTCGCGGGCTGTTTACGTTTTTTCCAGCGGAATCGGCTATGCCCGATCCTTCCCCCGCTAAAACTGGTTCGCCTAAGTGCTTCCCTCCCGTCGACTCTAAGCGATGTTCATATCCGGGTTAGAACGAGTTTCCTTTTCTAAATAAGTCGAGCATTAGAAGTTAAACGAAAAATCCTTTGCAGTATGTTTTATGCAGATGTTGAGGGTAGTAGCAGAATATGTTTTTTCGTCAAACAACGTCCCTACACATGTTATTAACTCTTCTTTTAATTATTCTACTAGAACGACGCATGTGATAACAGCTATCAAATGTTTTCATTTTGTAATCAAATTCCGCATTGAACGTTGTCAGGTATCAACTTATCAACTACTTTTTAACACATCCATAGAGGCGTTCCGCGAAGAGCTCTCTAGTGTCTGCTTGATAAGTGTCCAATTAAAAAAAAGCGCTATAGGAAAAATAGGCAACTAAAAGTTAGTTCCATCTATGGTGCTTTGATCCAAAGCTATAAGGAAGGGATTAATGTAAGTGGTTACTTAGAAATATAGGCAAACTTAATATAATACAAAAATACTATTCTTATATAATGCACAGGATAAAACGCACATTCGCCCGGGGGCCGAGCATGGGACGCGACATGCGAAGACATCGAATCATTTTCATCGACTGCAGCTTTCGATGGCAGCTATTTTGGATTATATGACTCAGTGCATATATCGTACTATGTAAAGAAGAATATATCTAGGTAGGGCAAAAGTGATTCTTTAGCTTGTCGAATTTCATATAACAACATCATGGTCAGGTAGTATTTTTAAGATATTGTTGAATGCTATTTAATTGGAATCATTCCACCGCATACTATAAGCAACGCGATACACAAGTGTCCCTTGTGCACGTACGAGCAGTACTTTGTTTTCAACTAATCAATGGCTATATTGTTATCATTGGACCTGCATAAGTTAAAGTTGCCATTACCACATTGCCAAAACGGCGAATCAAGTCGTCTGCATAAATCAACTTTACGAATAACAAATTAACTTAAAATCTTACTCGCTCTTCCCAAGCATGTGCTAAGATGCATCATTGTCTCGCATGGCTAATAACATACATAAAAATGGCAACGAAGTCTTCATATGCCTGATTCAATAGCAAAAGTACTATTTGTACCTTTATCGTCATCAAGACTACCGATTGCCAATGCACTGATCCATTTACATGTAATTCTGCACGCAGATTTTTTCATGGGGAATTGAATAATGCTTTCTGGAAACTCGATAATTACAAAAAAAAAAAAAAAAAAAAAGAGACTCGCGTTCATTGTGGATTGACTGGAACGACCTCGTCGAACGGCACTAATAATAGTTAATGTTTCATGAGTTCAACTGTAAAAATTCACGAGATACTGTAATAACATATCATACTATTATTAATTATAACAAACTGCACAACGCAAATCTATAACAAATAGAGGTTCATTGATTTTTTTTTTGGAGTTTAGGGCCTAAATGTCATATATCGACTGCATACCAACCATTACCCAGGAAGATGCGTCTACGCAACTATTGCTTTCGTACCTTCATCTATTCATCAGTGTCGAAGTGCTTCTCAAGACAACAAGGAACGTCCTTAATAAAGTACTCAATGTGGACCCCATCCACTAGGGAACGAGCGTTGGACGTAACGGCAGCTATGCAATCACACCCGTTCGTTGTGCCATATCTCTTTATAAAATCGATGAACTCGCTAGGTCCATATCTCGTGAAGGCGTCCTTTCAGACGCAAA